TCCTCGAGAGCCTGACGAAGCTGATCTTCGGTATATTGAGGCATTATATATAGAAGAAGACATGTGCAAAAGATGAGCCCATTTGGACGCGAATTGAAAATGTTGTGATAAAAGGAGGTTGGGGGTGGGCATTGGGTTGTGGTGGATTTTCGCGTTTTTGTGGGTGCCAGAAACAGGGGGGTGCCAGGAAGTGGGTATGTTGACTTACTCGAGGTTCAGGGAGAAGTAGCTGTGAGCTGTGTCAAGGACATTACGAAAATTCCAATGGTATGGTGTATAAGAGGATTCATATCTGCACTCAGAAGTATCGAAACACTCGGCGACAACGGCATCAAACATCACAAGGGTGCCGTCCCAATCAATATCAAACCGATTCACTGAGTCACTTTGCTCCTGCTCAACAACCCACTGTTACCTTCTCTAGCAGATGCAGACTGCTTGTGATAATCAATTTTATCGAAATTCTGTTCATAAGTCGGCCCAGATCGACACTCAGCTCCATCATACATAATCAACCCAGTTCGCCTAGAGTCCGCAATTCCTCGAACCGTCTCTTGGCTCCCACTGCTTACACAAAACATCTGTTCGGAGCTCGCATATTTGTGTCACGCGATATTCCGATCAACCACGGGATTTCCTGTCTTCGAGATCGGTCTCCGCATCTTGTCTAGGACCCCTTTTCCTTCCTGTTGTCGACATTTCGATACCTTACTACCTGCAACTACCTAAACGGGGAAGAACATACGGCAGCAGCCCTCGTGAAGACTACCAAAACTTTGGAACTTTTCAGCTCAGCTTAGGAACATCAACCATGTGCACTTGGTCCTACCTTCACCACCACCACGTCCAGCCGTGCCCTCGGCCGATTGACAATGTCTTCCATTGGGAATTTTGCATGGACGCTGGAAGAGATTCGGATGGCAATTTTCAGACTCCCTGCGATAAAGTCACTTCCAATGCGGTCCAGAATGTTGATTTTGATAATCCTTGTGCAACTGGAGGCTGTCTGATTTCTCCTGATTGCAGTGCCGGCGGCTGCCGTTTGCAAGAGTTGAACGGCTATTGGAACTGTTGTCAATGCAGCAGAGGAAGTAACACACTGCGCTGGTGTCGACACAAAATGAAGAAGAGTCCAGACACTTTCTGCTACCATCGAGTCTGCAGAAATTGTACGGCGGACACTAACACCTGAGTCCTGACGACCTTGGTAGGGCAAGACAAGGTGATGAGCACCTCACAGCCACTGAGCTTCATTGATAGACGACGACGTGGAGACAGGGAAGAATACACGAGGAGTTCGCAAAAGTGATTTGGAATCTTTCGACAGACCGACGATTTGCTATTCCAGAAGTGGCGCCATATCTCACTCGATGCTCGTTCACCAGCCGCCACACCCAAGTTCTCGGCTCTTCATGGGCCGTGGAAAGATGGGTATCAGAGTCTAGGCTTTTAAGCCCTAGTCCAGCAGCTGATGTCGGGTCGTACACGGATCGGGATGAAGACCAGTTATATTGGAGAGAACATCAGGCAGGGGGTGTTGTCGTCGGCCGAGAGCGCCTCCTGGTGATCAACTTGCTTCCTGGCTGTTCACCACGAGCCCAACTCCACGCACGAGGCTGAACGATGGAGGCGAGGAGGCTTGGGAGCCTTTGCATTACATGAAGTAATATAGACCAATCGAAATGCTATAATTTCTACTGCGTGTTTCACCCAAATGGTTCGCACATTTGCCTGACTAAAGTGTCTGTCGCGATTTTGTTCTAACGGAAAGCAGATACGGATCAAGCCCCGGGATTCAACGCGTCCGAAGTCGGTCCCTGATACATATCAGAGACCTGGCTGCCACGTTTTTCTTTCAATAACCCTTCAAACTATTTGTTCTTGGATGCATCTTGCGAGTCATTTGCTCGCCTTTTGCAAACAGGCCGCCAAAGCCTCCGCTTGGGACCCAATGCAGTGGTAACTGATCGTCAGGGGAAGGGGAAGAAATCGTGGCCGCCTCAATATGCTTACCGACAGGTCGGAGTAGATCGCCGAACCTGCTTCTTCTGTAACCTTCTGTCCGGAGATTCTGAGTATATAGTTGAGGATTGAAACCCCAGAATAGTCGAGGTGTATTTCAGGACCTGAAAGTAACATCAGAACATTGAGCATCGCATCGTGCCTGTGACTCTCAAATCTTCATTTGACTATTCAACTCCAGCTTCTCTATCTTCGTAACTTTTGAACTGCAACATCCGCATATCGAAAAGTACATTTACATTCGAAAACCTCGAAGACGTCATGTGCCACACCATAGCTTTCAAGTTGCCCTGCGAGCATATCCAGACTCATATCGAATATTGCTCCAAGGCTTCGACATCCTCGAAAAAAGATCCATCCAAACGCAAAACCTGCAGAGATGTCACTCAACAAAACATTCCGTACCCTCCTCCCCCAGGCTATGACCAGAGAGCCTTGCCAAAGTGCCCTTTGGCAGACTGCCCATACGAAAGCCGCAACAGATGCTGGAACTGCTGCTGGTGTGGCAAGGGTTGGAACGATGGAGGCAGATGTAGCTGCATCATGATCATTGACGGAAACCAGTACCGCTGCGAGCATATCTGCTGCTCGACATGTACTGCCGCCATGGATGGTTGAATATTTCCAAGAATATGATGGAGCAATTAAGCGAGTGGCCTGTGGAATCAAATCACTTCTTGGAGCTTAGGAGGTGACGTAAAAGAAGGAGAAAGACTCAGCTTGAGATTCTCAAGTGACTAGACGTCATGGCAATCTATCTTCTGGAGGAGCCCAAACCCAGGAAAGGATAGTATGAATCAGTGGTGGGTGCAGAAACACATAGAAAGGATAGGTTCCACTTGTTTTCTCTTCAATAATCTCGCAGTGGTCGAGTAAGCCAGCAAGTTCTCATAGTGACATCCATCGCCATCGTCGGTGGCAATGGGTGCTTGCAGGTGAATCTCAGACAACCGGATTGTCTCACACTGTATAATGTATCTAATATTCCTAAGTGATGAAATTGTCCGCGACCTTTTTCGGTGCCGCGTTCCTGCATGATATTTGCCCAGATTCCGTATCTGTGAGTAGTTAAACATGATCTCGAGATCGTGATCGGATGGGGTCCAACTTGGGTCACATTAAGCAGCTACCCAGCTCAGTCTCCAGATCCTGCACTCTTGCATTTCGATCCAGCCAACCAACCCCTCCTAACTCACGCCACTTTCCTCTCGACCACTCAGATTTTGGAGCAGCCGATTGGCGAGGCTAAGTATTATCGGGGCTAATATTAGCCCCGAATAAGGATCGTGATTATCGTGAAACCCTCCATTCAGACTATCACAAGATGGTCATGCGTCAAGCTTCCTAGCGAGATCTTACGAACCCAGGCACCGGGAGGGCGGGCTTCTCATCCGCTGCTCAAACCACTCGTGGAGGAATTCATCCCCATGGATGCGATGTAAGACGCGTAACACAGAGATTGATGACGGTGGAGATCGTCGTGTCGCAATAATGGGTGGACCGGTGTGACACAAAGCTGCGAGTTCCCGTCGGAGACTTCACCCAGATTTGATGAGGGCGTGTTGGGAGAGCCCTGGCCGCACAAGCAGGTTGTTTCATTGGCTGCCTGATCTATGTTTCCGCACCCTCAAGTATGGATGCAACACATAACATTCACGCCAAACAACCCATCCACCATGCAGCCCGAGACATTGGAATCCCAGAAACAGTCAATTGGGGCCATCTTTGACCCTGGGTTCCACGACCCTTACTGTCGGTGAGCGAGGGGTGATGACAGATGAGATGTGGAGTGAGGGTGGTGTTCGAGATGGTTGGTAAGAAGTGAACATGTGTCAGTAGCTGTGAGAAAAGAAACCAACGGAGGCGTTCATCGGCAGTTAGGACGGAATAGTGATCATGGAAGTGCGGTAACTTTGTACAAATTTTATGATGTGCAAGGAGAGGTCATCAAGAAGGCGGAAACGATGAAGTATATAAGATACAGGAAGCTGCTTGGTGAAAGCGAATTCCAGTCAACTTCACAGATTACCGCCATCAGTCGTTGACTATCTCACTACCGTGACTTCATACTTTTGTTTCGTCAAGTATAAACAAATCTGCACATTGCCATCTTTCACCATGTGTCACGGCCACCCTCGTCTCCACCCTTGCTCACACACTTCGATCAACTGGCACTACTGCCCTTCGGCCCTGATTGATCTCGAAACAGGTGTAGAGACTCCTTGCTCACACCTGAGTTATGCAACCGCCCAACCCAGCAATGCCGACTGTCCTTTGATCAACTGTCAGTTCAAGGCGATGGGTGGCACCTGGACCTGTTGTCAGTGTAACCAAGGTCCCAATACCCAGGGCTGGTGTACAATGCCAAAAGCCACACCAGGCCATGGTATCTCCGCCCCTGTCAATGAGTCTGAGACTTGTGATCATGGGTGCTGTGCCGAATGCGCACGTTACCGTGGGTCTATCAATCCTCGATGTACACCTGTTAACCATTGAGCTAAACAACCGGCCTAGTCCCAACACGAGCGACCACCCCAGATATGGCATTCAGTGAGCTCCGTCAGGGGGTTGCTAGCCGCAGGTTTGGCTACGGCTCTTCCAGTCGCTCTCACCGTCGAGGTTCTGCCTTATCCAAGATCAACGGGTTTCCTCCTGTGGATGAGAACGCAGACACTGTGTCGCCCTCCGCATCAGGCTCGTGTTCAAGAAGCAACAACTCTTACAAATCGTCTACATCCGGCAATACCTCTTATGGATCTGTGACTTCAGCAAGCCGAAGCGCGGCCTACAGGGTCGATTTGGAGTACAGTTCTAAACGGCACAAGTCATCCTCCGGAAAGTCAAGCAAGAAGAGCCAGAAGTCTATGAGAGCGCATTGATGTAGGGTGGGTCAGCTGAGTTGGCGCTATCAAGGAGATTGCCCCAGGAGACAACGAATTGTCAAATACTACGTTTGGCGATCTCTGTAGAGTACAGGTGCTCAGTGCCAGTCGGATTCTTTCGTCAACGCGTTTGCCAGTGGTCACAGTCTGAGCTTGCCAGCTGTGATCGGAGGAACCTATGAACCAGAGAAGTATCGGTTCTATCATGTTTAATTAAGTCTAATCCGGTGCCCAGCGCCGAGATCATGGTGCGAAATGGTACTGTTAGTAAACCAGTTGCCCTCGACTCCGCATCTTGGCCTTCAGCGTATCTCTTCTGTGTCCGGGAAGAAGAAGCAGACCCTGAAGGGAGAGAGCCACGTGTAGTCTTATAGTTCCGAGAACCTCATGCAAATTATGGTTTCGGCTGGAATTGTGTTCAGGTCCTTCAAAAAACATCTGTTGTGAAAGCTAGCAATCAATGATGAACAAAACGAGAGTCGAAGATGTTGAAGGATTACACACAATCCGCCCATGATTGACTTGCCCCGCCACATTAAGTGTGGCGTCTAGCCTCATCACCTAAGCGACCCGGAAGCGGGTATGGGTTGATCCACCCCTCCGGGCACGTGCCTCCGTGGCCGGACCCACAGTTCCCCCAAAAGCTCCCGTGAAGTGCCGCCGACGTGTCGTCTCATCTGTCCATCGCATCATACGTCAGGGTCACAATCTCAGAGAAGAAAATCACAAGAACTACATACTCGCCGTCAAAACTTTCTCAATGGCCTGTGGATCCGGCTGCTGCGGTCCTCCACAGGAACAGGCTTTCGCGAGGGACAACCTGCCTCTAGTCGCCTCGCCCCCAGATGGATTGGACCGCGACTATCCTGATGTTGTCGACGCCTGCTGCGCGGTTAAGGAGAGCGATTTGAATGCCGTCATTGAAGCTAAGGTGGAAGAATGCAAGACGACCGATCATGGAAGAGACAAGGACTCTGGAAACACAATCCTCCAGAACTGCTGCGCTGCGTCCAACGACGGCAGCATTGACTCAGCACAAGTCGAAGAAGATTGTTGCGCTCCAAAGGTCAAGGTTGGCGACTTTGCGAACGCTTGCTACGGGTCTCATAATGAACAAGTTGCTGTAATCAGCGCTAAAAGCAATACCATCGCCGAGTCTCCTGACGAGTCCGCAAAGAAGGTTCCTGGCGTTGGATGCCAATCTGAACAAGACGACCTCGCCTTCAAGTCAATCGCGGCCTCGATCAACACTCCCGATTCCAAGCAGGACTCTTGTGCCCCGAAATCCAAGAAGTGCTCTTCAGGATGTTGTGGCTCGGCGAGGGGCAAAAGACCTACTGACAGCCCTGAGACCACATCAATCAAAGCAGTGGCGGGCGAAGTTATTGCCGTGACCGAATCTGATGGTGATGAACCTGTAAAGATCTGCTCAGACGATAGCAAAAAGGGTTGTTGCTCCTCTGGTTCTGCACCTGACGTTCGTGGAGAGAAGACACCCAGCTGTTGTGAGGGCAAGACGTCACCTTGCTGCGACTCTACTTGCATCGATCGCCTCGCTCTGCGCGAGTGCGCAAACGGAAAGGCTTCAAAGCTTCCGCAGACCTACCAAGGTAAATTCTCGTGCAAAGAGCTCACTTTTTCCAGCTGCTAATATGATCCACACAAGCCTCCACAGACAATAACTGCACTGGCGGCCAGGACGGCAAGGCGTGCCGAGGTCATTCTCGAAGCGTACGTCAGATTTATCAGTCAAAGCTCGATGCCTTGGGCTGTATCTGCCGTGCACTTCTTGCTCTCGGCCAGGAATCTTGCTGTGCTCCTCGTGAGTGCTCCTCCATCGAAAGGAAGCGATCTTCAAAGAAGTCCGCGTCTTTTCATCGCACATCGGTTGATTCCTGCAGCGCTTCCGGGGTGGACAAATCTGCTTCCCGTCCGGGACCAAGGAAATGCGGCGAAAAGCCAACTCGCAGTTCAAGGTCTGGCATCAAACCAGGTACATGTAACGATGGTTGCTGCTCGAAGCCCAAAACGCGGAGCATTATTGGATCATGTGCCGACTCCTGTTGCGACGAGTCGCCGTCGAGACCTATTAACCAATCGTTACCGCCTGAGCCGAAGAGTGTGAACGAGGATCTTGAACAAGGCCTTGTTGGAAAAGAACACGTCGTGCTGAGCATTTCTGGCATGACCTGCACTGGGTGCGAAACAAAACTCAGACGAACTCTGGCCACAATGAACGCAGTCAAAAACCTGAAGACTAGCTTGGTGTTGGCTCGAGCCGAATTCGACTTGAACATTGGCGCCGGCTCGGTGGATGAAGTCATCAAACATCTCGAACGTACAACTGAGTTCAAATGCGAAAAGATCACCACGCAGGGTGCTGCCAGTGTTGACATCGTCTGCCCTGGCGATCCCCAAGATTTCATCAATCATCCATGGCCCAATGGTGTCACGGACATTCGGGTCATAGACAAGGCCATTGTTCATGTTGAATTTGACGCGAAGGTCGTCGGAGCCCGTGATCTGGTCGAAACAGGCTGGGGAACGCCTGTTACGCTGGCGCCACTTCGAGCGGATCCTTCGTTGGAGGCTGGAAGCAAGCACATTCGCAACATGGGATGCATAACTTTGCTTTCAACTATCCTGACGATTCCCGTTCTCATAATGGCCTGGGCACCTCTTCCAAAAAGAGAAATAGCATATGGCTCGGCATCGCTAGCCTTGGCGACGATTGTACAAGTCGTAATTGCTGGGCCATTCTATCCAAAAGCTTTGAAGAGCTTGATCTTTTCACGAGTTATTGAGATGGATCTATTGATTGTGCTAAGCACAAGTGCCGCTTACATCTTCTCCGTTGTGTCATTTGGGTTTCTTGTCTCTCAGAAGCCTCTTTCGACTGGGGAGTTTTTCGAAACGAGTACCCTTCTTGTAACGCTCATTATGGTTGGTAGGTATGTGAGCGCTCTAGCGCGACAAAAAGCCGTCGAGTCTATCTCGATACGATCTCTTCAGATCTCGACGGCTCTGATTGTTAATTCAGTTGGTGAGGATGAGGAGATTGACGCCCGTCTCCTCCAGTACGGAGACATCTTCAAGGTCGTCCCTGATTCCAGAATCCCTACCGATGGGACAGTTATCTCAGGTCTCTCGCAAGTTAATGAGTCAATGATGACTGGGGAGTCAGGACGCATCGAAAAGTCCACCGGATCCTCAGTCATTGCTGGCACTGTAAACGGCTCTGGCTCTCTTACCGTTCGTCTGAATAGGCTTCCTGGCAATAACACCATCAGCAATATCGCCGGAATGGTCGACGAGGCTAAGCTTTCTAAGCCAAAGATCCAGGACATTGCCGATAGAGTCGCTTCATACTTCGTACCGGTAGTTATGGCCATCACCATCATCACTTTCTCGATTTGGATTGCTGTTGGCATTGCGGTCCGCAAGCAGGGTGGCTCTGAAGCAACTATCCAGGCGGTAACATACGCCATCACCGTCCTCATTGTATCTTGCCCATGCGCTATAGGCCTCGCAGTACCCATGGTCATTTTGATCGCGAGCGGTGCAGCTGCCGAAAAGGGTATCGTCTTCAAATCTGCGGACAGCATTGAGCTTGCCTATAAGACTTCGCACGTTGTCTTTGACAAAACCGGAACCCTTACAACTGGAAATCTCAGAGTTGCGCACGAGACATACTTTACAAAAGATCAAGAGGCCATCAGATCGGTGCTTCTCGGCCTCGTTGGCACCACCAAACACCCAGTCTCTGTTGCCATTTTCACTCATCTAAAAGCACACGTTGCTACACCTAGAGCTGTTACGGATCTGAAGGCCCTAACGGGCAAGGGTGTTGAGGCGAAACTCGACGGAGCCACTCTTCGAGCTGGCAACTCGCGTTGGCTTGGTCTCTCTAACGACCCCAGGGTTCAATCAGTCCTATCCAAGAGCTACACAGCCTTCTGCTTTACTGTGGACAACTCCTTGGTTGCTGTCTTTGGCCTCGAAGACTCTATCCGCACAGATGCTCTTGAAACAATTTCCAATCTCCAGGCTTCCGGCATTTCTGTTCACATCCTCTCAGGGGATGATGATGGTGCCGTTCGAACAGTGGCTTCACGATTGGGCATCTCAGATCTAAACGTTCGTTCCCGATGCACCCCTGGCGACAAGCAAGAGTACATCCAGAACCTACTGTCGCAACCTTTGTCCGACGCCCGCCGATTCAGAGCGAAGAAGCCGAAAGAGCCAGTCATCATCTTCTGTGGCGATGGAACTAACGATGCAGTTGCACTGGCACAGGCCACCATTGGCGTGCACATGAACGAGGGGACCGACGTCGCAAAGTCCGCCGCGGACGTCGTTCTCATGCGTCCGAGCCTTGCGGGGATTCTCACCATCATTGCCATTAGCAAGAAAGCTATCCACAGGATTGCCTTCAACTTTGGCTGGAGCTTCGTATACAACGTGTTTGCTATTCTCCTCGGCGCTGGCGCGTTTGTCAACGCCAGGATTCCGCCCGAATTTGCGGGCTTGGGTGAACTAGTCAGCGTCCTTCCAGTCATCGCCGCCGCGGTCCTTTTGCGATGGACCGCAATCTAGCCCTTTATCGTTACATGCCAGACCCAGGTGGGGGATCCGCTCCGGAGAGGGCGCGTGATGCTCACAGGCGGGCGCCTGAGGATGTGCGTCGGGGCATATTCAACATTTGCCACAAGAATAGTCGCTCTTTGCTTTTGGATGCTTGGAACTTGTTTTTCATTGGTTTGTGGTTTCTTGGTATCGCAAAGTGTTGCCACTACTGGTACGAGAATTGAGTCAATTGCTCTCTTTCGCATTCGTCTGCAAGAACGCGTGTATCGTGCCCTTCTTCGCTAAGCTCTGTCCAAGGAGTTGTAGAGGCACGGCTCTGTGTGCCCCATCGCAGTCTCTGAATCTCAGCTCTCAGATCTTACCTTCAACTGACATGGTCTGAATGTAAGCTACTTACACAAAAAGTGTGGATCAGGGGGTACCTCATCCGTTCTCGTTACTTCGTAGATCGTTGGCATTTCAATTTACCAGGGCTGTTAGGGTGCAACGTTGACAGTCTCTCATTCTTTCTGCCTCACCTATCGCGATCAACGATGGGCAGCAAGACACTTCTCCACCCTTGATGTGAGATTCGGCAGAAACAGCTGCATGTAGGGTATACCCAGGTGATTGAAATGCTTGAAAGAGATAAGGTACCACAGGTCATCTTTGTGATCATGAATCTTCCACCGCCAAGTTTGAGGTATCTGCCTCTCGACGCCTTCGTGCCCGAGGCTGTCCATGCTTTGGGGATACACCTAATTCAAGAGTACTCGGGCGAATCAAGGGATCAAGGCGGTCAACTTGACAAGATGTTTGTACTTCTGACGGCAGAGTGAGTACTTGACTCAGAGATTCTAAACCCAATCAGTACTATATCGTCACTATGCTTCAGCCAACAGTATCCTCCCAGTGACGTCTGATCTAGACGCTAGATTGGTTTAGAAGCCGTGCATTTGGGGTTGGGTGAGAGAGTCAGGGGGGATACCAAAGGCTAGGGGCTCTAGAACCACCATGCTGCAGACAGATCGAGGCGTGCTGCATTTTGTCTGCCGTATCAACCAGTCGGTCTACTGGCATCGAATGGGTGTCGCGACATCATTCAATGTGCCATCTCACCGGTGTGGGGGCACTCCATGCAAACTGCAAAAAGAAACGAGGACATGGGGGCGGGGCGGGGCCGCGGGGATGTTGCAGCATCATGGGACGGGGTGACGGACTAGTCGTCGGCAGACCCCTGGATACCGTCAGCTGGATATTTACATGTTCATTGCATATTCATCTCTTTACTTCGAATGGACGATCTTACCCTCTCTTCACGATGCGAGAGGTTTGGTTTTCAACCCTACACCTTTGTGTGGATCGAGCGTGCGTATTCCACGTGTGAAGGCGGTAGTTCAGTCAAGCCCATCGACCCAGAATGACGCGCATCCGAACACTTGCAGCCCTCGGTACCTTGGATAAAAGGCTGTACGGTACCTCCGTACATCGTAGAAGGAGCTGCGAGCACGGCTTGACCTTGATACTAGGCAAGGCATGAGAGAGGCGCGGTGCCAGGGGACATTCCGGATGGTTTGATCGCTGTCCATGATTTCATTTCTATTCGTACGGTGGTACAATAAGGATTAAGGTCAGAGGAAGGGCTGTTGCTTTTTCTGCCCACCCATGCCCCGCGTCACGGGCCGTGACAACTTGTATGTAGGCTAGAGCATGCAGTCCAGAAACGCCGTCCTTGCCAAGAAGAGTGTGATGGGCAACACATGTGTCTATTGGCTCTAGACGGATCCCCGGCAGGACATGCGTGCAAATCTCCCGATCATACTGAAATGGGGAGTGCATGTTAAGCTGCTGCCTTAGGCTGAGCGTCAGTATAGGTGGTTACGGCCGATGCCTAGTCCTCACGTCGTTTATTGTCTCATTCGCGTGATAGCTCCAAACCAGGTTGGCATTGAAAGTCGGGGAGCTGGACTCACCTCCGGTGAGATTTTGTCTTTTGAATCAAGCATAATTCCAAGGCTACTTGTATTCAGCCGAGAAGGTTACAGGCACGGAACCTAGCTTCGAGGGTGAAGGCACGGCATGGTCTTCGTAGTCCCAGTTCACGGGAGCAACGTTACTGCAATCAACTTGGTGATAATTATTCGACTACCTATAACTAACTTCTCTGAATACCTTCGGACAAACAGGGGACCGCCCTGCGTCTCCTCGTAAGATAGACATTGGCGTCGGTTACAATAGTGCAAAGGCATGTGAAGTATTGATATCAGCTTGCATCATGCATGCTTGGCACCTCGGATTCAGGCTGGGGGAAACATCACAGCAGATGAAGAGAGATCAATGATCCTAGCACAGCTGCTACCATCTGCATCAAGGGCGCTACCAATGGCACATTTCTGATAGGGCTGCAAAAAGGGACCTAAGTCCGAACAAGAAGACCTCAAGGGTGATGGATGCAGCAAGAAGCCAGCCATTCTGCCCGGCCAAGTTTGGCGGAGGACTCGTGGCTGGCGGCGAAATAAGCAATATCTCTGTGCCACCAGGGCCGCCCCGGGCCTTCGTGCCTCGCCCCGGCCCTTACTTCGCCTCTCTTCTTAGTGTTGTCCCATCACCTCGACAGTGGACACGTGTGACACTGATGTTGGCAGGCTGGAAAAGGAGGAAACACACCCATCCCTTATCCGGACGTGAGATCCTACACAGTGTTCTCTTCTACAGTGTCTATTTGACACTAGGTCTCGGGCAGAAAAAGGAACTAAAGGTCCGAGAGGGGGAAAGAGGAAAAGAAGGCTGGCACCGCTGGTACATGTCTAGGGCGCACTCCAAATCCCTGGGCCGCCATCAAATCTTTGGGACGCGTTGATGCTCTTGGATTTGTACACCCCACCACTAAACAAGCCACTTCAGCTAAATGCCAGTGGCGCGGTGACGACAGGGCCTTGTCACACAAGTATATCTCCACCACTCAACCCGACAAGAACTGGATGTTTCTCCTTGTACTCCGTACTTCAGTCACTTTTCGGCTCTCTTGCTTAAAGAGGCCTCACCATATCAAGCAGCATCTGCATGCAAGGATCTTAGTAAGTCTCCGTGATAACAACCGTTATGCAGCTGTTTGAGACTCGACGCTGTACGATGCGCCGATGCCAAGATCGCCCTCGCATCCATTCCTCTCCCCTTCAGTGTAGCTTGCCACGCATACCACCCAATTCTGACAAGTACAATATGAAGACATGGCTGGGAAGATGGGCCTGGCCAAAACTACAGACAGTGGCGGCCGGTTGTGCTCAGTCCACTGGGGAGTAAATTACCGTCAGCATGATACTTAGCATCTGCGACGGCACAGTGGAAGGGAGTTGAGATCTGATATGTGACACAATTGGCCCGAACTACTATTGGATTTACATGCATTAGCTTCGCTCTCATGAGATAATAAGCCTCTTGAACGAGAAGACGTTGCGCTGTCATGCGGAGCAATCCGGCTTCCTCACTCTCACATTGTGTAGGTTCCCCCTCTTTGCATGCCGGCCTCAAACCAAACGTAGAACAAAGCTCATCTACATTAGCTTCTATATCATGGGCTTTCACTGCCTTTATTTCATGCTAACTTTTCGTTTTAGGGGTCACTAGGGGTATGGCGCAGATGCTGTGGCAGGACGATCCTCGCCGGGACTAACATCATTAAGATTACTTCGCAGAAGCTCGGCCTCCGTCTGTCACTTGGTTTTCTCCTCGGAAAACGCCAGCGTGCCCTCTAAATATGAGTTCATATAGAAAATACTGAACTTGCTCTGGCTTTCCTGAAGATGCTCTGACTGATGGGTAACCCAGGCAGAAGACATTATTTTCGCCAAATCTCAGGGTCGTTTCCAGGCCCCCATCACGTATAGCTTGTAGGCTGATCGTGAATAGTATGTGCCTAGTTCAAGGTAGTGAGCCTCCATGGTGGTTAAGTAGGCAAGTGATTAGGCACTTGTGAATTCTGCTTCCTCGAATCCTTGCACTGTTGCCAGGAAATTCAGTCTATCGGTATCCGGGCTGCTGACTGGCCGTTCCGGCCTCACGATGTCCACGGATAGGCACGAAGTACCTGTCATGGCCAAGATCATTCTGACCGCTTTCTGTTTCACCGCAAGCCCCAAAGCTAGTGGAAGTCTTTCTTCAGCTGCCGACTCTTGAGACAGTCTACTGTTGTGCGACCCCGGCGCCCCTTAATCCTCACTTCGTATTGTTCGGAACCTTCGGCGACACCTGTCACACTATGGGCTCTAGTGGGTGAAGGGTCCTAGACAGTATTACCCACATGCAAATTACGTGTGGTGTCAGGGCTCCCGAGTCCGTAGGGCTTAAGTATTAGCGCCCATTGGGGTGATGCTGTGTGGTTGAGAATGAGCTCGTGGCTCGAGTCTCTTGGATTCTCAAAAGACTACGGAGATAATAATCGGAAACTCGTGAAGTTGCGACTGCCCAAGCTGAAGAGTTATAGGCTATCCTGTGGGCTCACAGAAGCATTGTCGTCTCTTTCTGGTGACTAGGTAGTCGCTATCTGAAATTCAGTGTCTTGAAGCCTCGAGACAACGGCATGACAGGGTGTCGGGTAGGGGCTGAGGAGCGCTGTCAGGTCAATTTCAAGGAAATAGGTTTCGTTTCAAGTAGGCTATTTGTAAGGTTGCATGCTGCAGCCGGATGGCTCGTCACAGATCAGACCTTGGGCAACATAGACAGTCAGCTCAAGGAGGCTCGTGAGGGGTGTGCAGTCTGATTCTTGGGAATGTTCTACGAATACTTTCTCACGTTAAGCTCCAGATGGAGACATTGAGTTTAGTGGACTCAGAATGTATGCTGCTATGATGAGAACAACAGCTTCAGGTTCTCGACTGAAGCAGACACAGCTCAGGAATCGGGGGTCCGCCGCAAACCCTCAAAACCAAATACGGGGGGGCGGGCGTTTCTCCATGCTCCATGTACTCTATATAGGCGCTTCAGGCCCAGCAATCATTGGTGATCATAGTGGCATGCCTTGTTACGAGAATATTTCCGAGCATACTGCCCCAGCCGTAGATATATTGCTTAAAAAAAAAACGGGACGATGCCTCGGTGTACTCGATTAAGCACCTCACGTAAGTTCTCGCACTTCTTGTACAGCGCTACTTTGGGTTAGACTCCAGCTCCCCGTCTTTCGACGTCCTCAAACTCGTAAGGGTTCAACTCAGCTCCCGATGCGGCCCAAGTGAACCCTCTAAAAGTTCGAACGATCCCAGACTCGGCTCTCTTGGATCGTTCTCCTTGGAGCGTGCAGGCGGCCAGGTCGTCAGCGACTCTTGCGGAGGAAACGACTCTCAATGGGGATAAGGGCCATCCCCGTTCGAGCATTCACTGGTAGACGGCTTATTAACCTCGTGAAGAAAGTCGCCAACCCGCAACGGGCGTAGGTTGAGGCTTTGGAATGGAGAGCTATTCCCCTCCCCCTCTCCCCTTTGACCCCCCATCTATTAATGCATTCGTAACATGAGACCAATAATGGCGCCAAGAACGTGCAGTGAATAGATGGGACAGTACCTGATGGATCTTGATCTTTTTGGATTCGGTTAGTTGTGGCCGCCGAATATTTCTCCGAGGCCGCGTTCCCGGGTATGCGCCCTGTGAAATCGGTACAATCAAACGTTCAACTGCCTTCGAGGCATCGTGTGCTACTTATCCACCGAGTGATGTGAATTGAGACGAAAAGAGGACCAAGAAAAATTTCGCTACGTGAATCTAGCTGTGTCTCATTAGTTATCTCGAATCTCGGGAGGGCTCTATCACCACCCACATCCACGGAATAGCCCTCGCAGTCTCAGCCCAACAGACATATTCATAGAATATCCACCTGTTCCCGCGGTCCATAGTCTCAAATCTAGAACCTACTAGCGCTTGAAAGCATTTTCCTATTCCGTGATAGCGACTTGGCCTGGTATACGTGCGCCTCCACATTGCTTCTAGGTCCTTCAACCTTCGTCTACGAGCCGACAGGTCCATCGGACCGGGGAAATGTGACAGACCAAGACAGACCTTCTCCAGACGGCCTAGACCAGAAGGAGAGTAAGACGCACAGTGCGTTTAAGAAAAGTATGTCAGCGCGAAGTACTCCTTGACGGTGATCGAGGGTGGACGGCGGCCCCATCCTCGGGCTGCGTCCACCCTCGGCGAGAACTCAAATGCGAACCAGCTAGGTCACTTTGTGTAGTAAGTTGCAGACTCACATGATCAAGAACGCGGTAAGGGTCCGCGGTAAAGATCATGTCTTGGGTATTCTAGAGATTGTAAGCATCCGTACTTCCCCGGAGAGCGCCTTGTTGGTTTAATACCGGGGTTCAGATTGCTTGCTCCCTGATGTGGAATCAACGGCCGGATGCTGGGCCTGCACCCTGGTATCGCCTTCATGCAGCCTATCCGCCGCAGGATCTCGAATCCTCCACAGGCTCAACGCCCACGCACTAACCCCAGTCGCAAGATTAACGTACGCACGAGCTAAAAGGTGGTCTTGATGGGCCACAGATTTCCGGTAAATCCGGGTCAACTTTGGATTCGTCCACGTCCTCTGGTACGTCACTCAATTCGATGTCTACGCCTGTGGTGGGCCTAAAGTCCAAAGATACGGCAGTAGGGAGCGCCGCCCCAGTCAGACACAGCCTACACAGGTGAGCATGCTTGGTCAACCGCTGGATGATTTATGACTACAAACAGGGATGCCGTTGCATGCCCACAATCCGCATACAGGAAGAAGAAATGTCTCCCTGAATGCTGGGAAAGACAGAGAAGTAGTGGGATATCATGGCTGGTCTTCAAGAACGATGGTGTAGATCCTCGAAGCGGGGAGCCGCCAAGATAGCAAAATGTCATTAAAGCGGGATGGGGAACCGCGTTATCTTACCATACATGTATTTTTCAAAGAAAAATAGACTTCGGATGCTTCAAGCTACAGTTTTCCATCGGTATCTTGCCTTCGGAAACACCCACTTGTCCGACTTGTATATCTTCTCAAGCCAATCCTTTTTCAACATTATCCCGAGCAGCATCGAGTCACGAGATCTGACAGTCGATTAACGGGTGGGAACACAAGCCAAGTGCGCCTTACCCTTGTCGTCGAATTCTCCCGGTCATTCGATTGAGAATTCGGTTTGCTCGTGCATCACCGGTTCATGCCACACCCAAGAAAACCACTTGCTCTTTGCGATAACTGGAGTCACACTCGATTTGATACCAAAAGATGGAGGATTCAGGAGCTCAATGGTCCGAGCACTGTGACCCCCTCGTCTTTGTAAGCCATTCCTGACCCAGCTCAATAACTCTCGCAGTAATTCTGCCCAGGCTACCTTCTTCCTAGAACCGTGAAAAGACGGTCTGAGTCAAACGAGAAGGGAGAAGGAAAACGACTAATCAGAATTCAGAACACCAAGACTTTGTACGATGCTGGATGCTCCGTTTACTCGGCGCCCTATGATTGCCAACACAGAGACTCGGCAACTCAGGGCCACTGGCAGTACGGCACTCTTGAAAACCAGAACAGTCCGCAATGTTTTCACCAAGCCATCAATGGGCCCTACAATGTCGACGCGCCTCAAGCTGTTAGCTGGACTCCAGCTCCATCCTCCCTCGATCATGGCTCATCGGGTGGGTTAATTCAGCAAACAAGCACTCTTCCGCCTAGAGTTCCATGGTCGGTCGGCCTGGTCTACAGCTGCTTCGTGCATCAGAACGATGGTACTCGGCCGCAAGAGAATCAAACTATCGACCGAGTGGTCTCCCTAAATGGTCAACACTTCAACCACGATGGGCGGATGAATCATTGGGAGGTTCCCGGGGAACGTGTTTCGACTACGGCGAGCTTGCAAATACCATCTCCGCCGAGATCAACAACTCTATCTTACGGTTCTGCTAGTCCAGAGGATATTGTTTCGCCTCAAGAGAATCGTCTGCTCCATCGCGGTTTCCCGTTATCTGCCGAACTCTCTCAGCCAACTTCGATCAACCCGACTTCGCGGGGCGCCGTGCCTCATCAGCAACCTGAAATTCCTTCTCTGCCTAGTCCACAAGGCGATAGTCGAATCAACAACAAACAATCGCGGTCTCAGAAGCAAGCCTGGAAGCAGTGCTTGACCTCTCCGACAAACAAGTCGAGTCCGCTTGAGCCACCAGAACAACCGGGAAACGCTCGTGGAGTCAAGTCACTTTCTGAAATGTCTTCCAAGCCTTCTCTCTACCATAAGCCAGCGCGGAATGCGGCAGCAAAAGAAAGGGATGAGGGTGGCCGGCTGTTGGAAATTGTCCCTCGGCCAAAAGACACCGAGTCACAAATCTCCAGTCAAGGACGAGAGACAAAGTCAGCTGGTCGACGGAAACGCGTACTGACGGACGAGGACCGACGCGCTGTGGCCGACACCCGCAAAATTGGCGCGTGTATTCGATGTCGTATGCAGCGTCTCAAGGTGAGTTGGCTATGTCCTCTTCCAAGATTGGCAAGGTCGATTGCTACAAAGAAGATGGGATCCTCGATATTGACCATGCGATATTAGTGCGAAGTTGACGCGGCAAATCGCGATGGGCCCTGCTTGACTTGTGCGAAAGTCGACTTGACTTCTTCAAAAGTCATTCACCGCCAGCCGTGCATACGAACCAAACTCGCCGATGTCGTCCTTTACAATGTCAATTACGCTGGAATCGACACGAAGCTGGGACTTCCCGCCAAGATAATCGAGATCGAGAAGTGGGTTGACGAAGGTGAACATGACATCCAACTCGTAACGCGGGGACTGTGTTCTGTACCGATGAATATCCGGGTTCGCAAGTTCGACAAAGAGTCCATGCCGACGGACCAAATCAACTACTTCTGGATGAACGAATACAAGGGCGAGGTAGAAGAGACGAAACTCGAACCGTATGCTCTTGCCAGTGTGAGTTCGTCGAGGGAGCAGCTGGAAGCTTACATCGAGGCCAACGCGGTGAAGGGCTGGGAGGAGCAAGCCTATCGAGGTGATACCGACCAGCTCATTTCGAAACACTACAAAGCGGCAGTGGAGTACTACAACGATTGTGACCAACATCCCATCGACCGGCGTCTGTTACTCAACTTGTTCAAGTTCCGTTTCGCCCAGCGTGAGTGCTTTTCCCACTCTGAATCCAGGTTTCTGCATCAATTAAGTTGTGAAAATGTGGCGTTACATGTTCTAACAAGACTCCTTCGCTAGGCATCTTGACACGCCCTTCATGGATCTATAACAAAGATCCGAAGAGTCAAAATTGCCTAGGCATGACACCAGCCAAAGACGAATATCACCCGTTGATCGACAGAATTCCCACCCCGCCAACGACTACCTCGCAACTTCGTTCTATGGCTCATCTGCGACTGGTCAAGTACCACGAGCATATTCTTGAAGACCTTGAGAAACTCTGCTGCAAGAAGATTCGAACATCCTTCTTCACGGTTTATCTCGTGACGTTCATCATGCTCCACGAGCTTGATGCGACTACGGAACACTACAAGAAAAGCCCCTCCTTCTGCGCTGCCAAAGAGGTATTACGCGGTCGTCTATACAGCTTGAGGACTCTTTGCTGATGAAGACTACAGAAAGAAGATAAAGAAGAGTCCTACCAGCAATATTGCGAAGTTGCGAAGAAGAGCGCAAACATCCTTCTGCTTCATTGGCAATATTACCGACGCGCTCCCGAATCATACTGCGCTGCCGACGATTTCCTGGGAGACCATGTTGCCCGATGGTTTTGGACTGGCTTGCAAGACAGACATGAAGGATTTTGCAGGCAGACCTGGAGGGACATGAAGAATGCTGGTAAGTGAAAACGCTGCCAACACTTACGTTTTAGCTTGACTAACTCTTTGGCAGGCCATTGTACCAATCAAACGTCCCCCGGAGATCCGTTTCACTGGATTTCTCAGATGTTTGATAGCGATTGGAGTCCGAAAAGTATATGGGACCGCGTAGATAACATTATCGCAAAGCAGGAACCACCGGCTGAGCCGGCGTTCAAGCCGCGGAAAGCGACGAAATTGCGATGAATGTTTTGACGAATGGAGGCGCGTTGGTGATGGTTTTGCATGGAATACACGAGGAAGGATAGGACTGGTCATTTTAGTGGGAGGTACTCTGCATTTGGACATGAAGCTATCATGGCATGAACTACGACGACGACGAATAGAATCAAAACTCAAGTTGCCCGCACCTAGTTTGAACAGAAGTCCTATATATGGCTCTGAATCCGAGACACCAATGTTGGGCCTTACAAATGAGGTAGGTCCCTTCTAGTCATGTTGGTTGGCTCTCTAGAATAGGTATATTCCAACACAAATGCAGCGTGGGTGAATGGTAAGGTACTCATAGCAAAAGTCGCACACGCGCTTCTGTGGCTAGCCTATCAAACTTTGCCGTTTCAACCTTGCCGCACGCGTAGTATCTAGAATTATCCTAGCATGCTATAAATATTGCCCTCGAAAGCATTGGGCATATGTATTCTTGCTTCCCCTACCATGCTGGCCTCATCAACCTCCAGAGATGATCAAGTAGCTGCATACTGGTAGCTCGTCAACCTAGTTGAAGCAGACCCAGGCGGACAACTGCGGCGTGCTTGTCAGCCTTGGGCGGCTTACCTGTCAGTAGTCTCAGGGGCACCTTAGAGACAATCTCTCCCAACATGATGCCTGAGACCTTCATTGAGAATATCACGAATACCACCTGTCATGGCTGACAACTGTTAGCACAGTACTATGTGTTGTAATCGAGTTATTTATTTCGACCCCGTCGGAAATCATCCTTCGGGCAATACTTTTTAAGCCGTGGGCATGAGACTCCAAGCTGTTGTCAATGGCCTGCCTAATTGATCTTCCTCCGGGTGAAGTCAAAATTTTGATGGCTTCGTGCGGCGAGCTCAAGCTGGAACTCATGATGAGTCTCTCATTCGTATCCTTTGAAGAGATACCTCTAGTGCAGCTGGGCAAGCGAAGCACTGGAGACAATCCTCGACGTGAGATGCCTTAGCTAGCTGAGTGACTGCTGAAGGTACCTTATTCAGAAGTAGGTAATCCGCAAATCATGCTAGAATACGATGAACAGGACAGCACGCGACAACGTTAGGACTCCACCATACTCGTGCGGCTATCTCTACCACCAGAACGCGCTGCGTGCCTTATGTTCCGGCACGCCGGCAAAGGTACTAGCACTATGTAAACGAAGACGCGAGTCCCTATCTACACGCACCGAAAACGAAGTATCGTTCTCAACACACCTCG